AGGTTCTCGGTTCTTTAAATACCATTCGATAGAGCACGAAATCAAAAACAGTTGAAAAGAGCAAAAAAAGACGAGATTTCGTCAAAAATTTTCAAGAATTTTTGTTAGTTAAAAAATTTTTTTAAAAGAACTATCTTCTCATTTAGTATTAAATTCTGAGTTAAAAAATGTTATTTGAATGAATTTTACATAGAAGTGTTGTTCGACATAAATCTGTTGAGTAAAACCACTTAAACACATTTTTGTGGTATCCATAGACTATTTTGTATACCATTCTAGGTTTTTTCTATTAAGATATAGGACTAAGTATCATATCGCATTAAAGTAAGAAAATGTCGGAAGAATGCGATTTTCTATACAATAAAACAAAACCTAGATAACCTAATAGAATACATTTGAAAGTCAATATCTTGTGATTATAATGAGATATGATATTCGGTCCTTTGTCCTAATACAAATAACTAGAAATGTCGGCAAAATTGTGCATAAATACCACAAAAATGTGTTTGGGTGGTCTTATTCGATAGACTCATATCAAACAACGCTTGTATGTGAAATTCATTCAAATAAATTTTTTAAAGTCAGATTTTAATACTAAATAAGAAGATAGTCCTTTGAAAAAATTTAACTAACAAAAAACTTGAACATTTCTGATGAAAACTCATTTTTTTATGTCTTTCTAATCTTTTGTTTTTCTTCTCTAAAATATGAACCAATCAATTTAAATATAATGACCATCTGTTTATAGTCTATCAAATGGTATAGAAAGGAACGAGAGAAAAAATTACTCAATTTTAGCATTATATTCACCTTACGATTGCCTTTATTATACTTTAAATATGTGTAGATATTCATTAATATTCTGTCATCAATATTCTTTCTGATTGTGTAATGAAAGACCGTCGTAAAATTAGAAGAAACTCATGAATGAAAATGTCAATATTAATATCAATATTTTGATTTGTAACTGTATGAAATAACGATCATAAATAAGATATCGATGCAAAAAGATTAAAACCACACTTCCTAAAAGAATTATCCTAACGGAAATCAATCATCAATCGTATAGAAAATAAAATTATGTGTAAAATAACAGTATCTTTCATTATTGTTATTCACAACATAGAATTTTCATAAATATAAGCACTAAATTTCGATCTTAAATATGAGTTCATTTAATTTTAATTGCTTGTGTACGATAAAACATACTATCAAATAAGAAAACAAATAAAAATCCGAATAATCTTCGAGAATTGAAATAAAAATTACAAATATTTTATTTCTGATAATATATTTTATACTTATATAAACTTTAAAAGGATCGTTATATTTTTCGTTCTACAGGGTGTTAAAAAACTATTACACCCCCATCTACAACTTAAAGTATCAATGATATCACAAATGTATTTTATATCAAATTAAAGCGCGTCAAAAACTAGATTTATTGGTATTAAATAGTAAAAGTTAAGAAGACCTTTTGATGTCGAATTTAAAAAATTTTTAGAAATTTGATACTATTTTGATGACATCCAACGAACACATTTGAAAACGTCTGTGACAGCAAAAATAATGAACAAAGTTAATTTTATTGAAAAATCGAGTGTTTTTCTTTCATATGAAAAAAATTAAGTTTTTGAACATTTTTTGAGATTTTTCAAGTAGTTTTTTGAATTTTTCATCACAAAAAGATGACTCAAACTATTTTTGAAATATATAGTTTTATACAGCTCGACAAGCTCTATCGAACCATGTAAAAATATCCAAGAAAAATGTTTTACACCATTTTTGAATTGCTAATACTTTATTTTTCTACACCAAAAAAGTATCAAATTTCTAAAAAATTTTTAAGTTCGACATCAAAAGGTCTTCTTAACTTTTACTATTTAATACCAATAAATCCAGTTTTTGATGCGCTTTAATTTGAAATAAAATACATTTGTGATATCATTGATACTTTAAGTTGTAGATGGGGGCGTAATAGTTTTTTAACATCCTCTACTATGTAAAAACTAACATTTAATTTTGAGAGAAGTACATGACTTTCATATAAGAAATCTGATCTTTTCTATTAAGTTCAAAACAACGAGCACATCCGTTCCAATAAACTTGAAACTTGTAAACATTTTCTTTTTCAAAATCTTATTTAAGAAACCTACGAGCATTCATGGCTTCATTTAAGAGCTTTATTATCACATCTGAATTCGATTTTTTTTTTCTTCATGGATTTGATCATTTGATTTAATATGTTTGCTTTCTTCTGAGGATTCAAGGGTTAAATATAGACCATTTTCCGTGGATAGTGTATATAACATACATTTTTTATGAATACTTCTAGTTGAATTTTCTGTATGCACAAAGTTTCAAAATCAAAATTTGAAAGTACGAGTTTTTCGAAAACCTGAAGCTTATAGGAAAAAAAAACCAGATAACATCTTCTAAGGTTATTCGACTTTCGAGTGTTAAGAAAGATATTAAAAAATTTCTTTGAACGATTCCACAATCAAACATAAGTTTAATAGATGAAAATATCTAATCAAAAAAAGTAAAAAACATGCCCTAAGCGATATCGATTAATATTCTTCCATTCAATCGTTATCCCGCCCCTCAATCAATACAAATATAGCTTTTCACACTTTACTTAACTCATAGTGAGATGAATATCGGTTAATAAAGCAACAACAATTACATCACTTTGGTCTTCTCAAGGTTAATTGACTATGGACACGCAAATAAAATCGTAACCAAATACATAAAAAAAAAAAAAAATATGAACACTTAATTCAAAGAAGACCACCTATCGTGAATTATTAGCTATCAATGCAATTTTTTATTTAAAAAAAAAAAAAGGAAAGAAATCTGTCGATAACACTTTTTTTTCTCATGATTCCATCGTGCCATGTACATATATGTCTGCATTCATTCGATATAATCATTGATCAAAAGTAACAGTCACTACCACAGCATGTTATCACGAGAAACATAATTAGCCTTTATATTGTCTTTCCTGTCATAAACAATTTCAATAGTGACCTATCATCATCAATCGAATAGTTTTAAATCCTCTTTAAGAATAAATCATTTATGCACTAACACATCTATATATATATAGATGATAATAAGGCAGATTTACTTCTTTTTTTTTTGTTTCAGGATGTCATCTATTCATCGATAGGTGTAAAGATCAAAAGAGTAACTAATAATCAGCTTTAATACGGATGTAGTTTTACCGATTAATAAAACAACAAAAAAGAAATGTTCAATCGAACGTTAATATTTTGATTTTGTTTAAGAAATCAAAAAAAAAAAAAAAAGAAGAAGCAAGTCATCATTTTCTTTTTTGTCAAATTCATTCTAATTATAGAATTGCCTGCCGACTAATGGAAGGAGGAGATATGTTGAGTTCTAATTAGTATATATTGGTAAAAAAAAGAACAACACATTAACGGAAATCATAGCTGAAAGTCTGTAATAAGAACATCATCATCTTTAATTGGACGCGTGCAATAGAGCAGATGTCTTCATGTTAAAAACATGTTTCTTGTCGTTGAGAGAGACAGAGAAATAAAGTAGAGATTAGCATCTCTCTCTCTCTCTATTGAAGAGATCAGGTGAAAAACAGTATCGAAATGAGAAGATAATTGTCCTTTCTTTTCCACTCTTCACTTAATAATCATCATGCCGCAAGGCTTTTAACTATGCAATAGTATAGTGATCATAAACACAGCTTCGTTCTTTGAAAATGATGAAATCACACTTGATTTGTCATACATATATATGAATTCTTTTACTTTGCTCAAATACTTTTCCTTTATTTTTCATGAATAAAATTAACGAGATCATTTTTATGAAATGAAGAATCACTTGAGTATATCTTAGTTTAAAAAATTCACAAAAAGAAAAAAAAGGCTACGTGTTAAACAAGTGAAAAAATTTTTGTTATTATTATTTATAGTAGGCTTTAATTAAGATTTTTGGTGATATAACTAACTGATTAATAAATTTACAAGTATAAAACTTGTCGAGAAATCTTGATTTTTTCGTTCTTAAAATTTAACATTTCAATATATATATATGTATAATATTGTTTTATTTAAGTATTAAAATATGTGGCGTCTTTAATCTCAATAGTTTAATAATGAAAATTTCTTAAAATAGATTTAAAATTTTCGTATCTATGTGATGATTGAACAGTTTTGGTTCCACGTAATATTTCGGAAACCGAACCGGAATCGTTTTTTTTTTCTTTCTCTCATTTTTAGTAACCGGAATGAGGTTTCCGGTTCCGGTTAATTTTTGAAACTGCCAAACTCTAGTCCCGAGGTTACCAGGATCAATTGGAACGAAGAAGGAGGGTCGAACGGTTTTTTTAGAATTGATGAACAAAAAAAAAAAACGAAAAAATTTTCAAGTTTGAAAAGTTCATTCTTGCAAATATATTTTTTATTAATGTAGAATATATGCTGCAATGTGTAAACTTATTTATTCGTTCTTTATTTTTCTTCAAGATTTTTATTTAAATAATATAAAGCAAATATTTTATTTTATTTTATGTATTTGGTTACGATTTTATTCGCGTGTCCATAGTCAATTAACCTTGAGAAGACCGAAGTGATGTAATTGTTGTTGCTTTATTAACCGATATTCATCTCACTATGAGTTAAGTAAAGTGTGAAAAGCTATATTTGTATTGATTGAGGGGCGGGATAACGATTGAATGGAAGAATATTNAATGCCACTTAATATAATTTGTTCGTAAAACTTTTTTTTTGTACTCGAGTCTAATTCACAATAAAAATATTCTCATTTCTTTCGATGAACAAAATTCAATCAAGAATTCTCAGTTATTTTAAAATAATAGTTTCGAATAATATCTTATTCTTTTTCTTTTGAACATTGTGTATCTCTCGAAGTAACTCTAAGCTATGAATAAATAAGTTTAGATGGATTAATAAAAGGAAAAAGTCCGATGGAATGATCATATTTCTTTTCTTGTATAGGTTTTATTTAATATACTCACAATTTTGTTGTTCTTCTCGAATGTAGATAAGTCGATTCCAATCGATTTGATTATTATCAATAATGATGGTTTTAGTCGTATCTTTTTGAATAAGTTGTTCTAGTTTTCGTTGGATTTCCTCGATTTTTTTTCGAAGTCGATCAATATCATTTTCAAGAAATTTTTTTTCTTCCCAACGACAATGAATCTCTTTTGTGATTGGTTCCAGTTGTTTTGTTAGTTTGGTTCTTTGTTTATCGATTAGCTCGATAAGTTTATGGTGGGCTCTGTCTGCTGCTTTTTCTACTTTCTTAATTGTTGATTGTTTCCATCGTTCAATTTGATCAAAAAGATCCGATGAAAAACAATTTGATTTTTCTAACTTTTGAATTTGATTAAGGAGTTCATCGTGTGATCTAACTATTTCATTATCGAATTTCATCGATACTTGTTGTTCATGTTCTTTGAAATCCTTCGGACAAAAATATTTTTTACATCCAATACAAAAACATCTTGCTAAAGATTTATTGCAGATTGCACATAAATTTGATTCAGTAACTGGAGCCATTTCTCGTAGAGGAAAATGAGTCGAATAACGTTATTTATTGTGCAAATTGCTCGAATAATCTTGATCTAAAATGAATTCATATAAATATTTATAAAGAAATAGGATGTTGGTGTGACAGTCTTTTTGAATGATACTTGTGTTTTGTTTAGTTTGATTCTTAAAAATTCTCTCAGATACTTTTCTCAAGGATGACTTAATTTGATGATGAATAGTGTAGCAATAATTGAGTAAGATGTGAATGAACGAATGAAAAGTCAATAACAACATCCTGCAACAATCTTTTCTTTGAGCTCAAGTCTCTCTTTTGGTCGAAAAGAGCAGGAAATTCCGAAAATATAACGATTTCCACTGGTGCAATTTTTTGGTTATATATATACTCGAAAAACAAATGGTCACAGCTCTTATTTTAAAGATATCTTGCCCATAAAAGCAAATATAAAAAAAAAAGTTATGTATTATGAAAGCGCTTGGAGTTTCCAAGCATCCTATATATTAATGTTTTAGTTTGCATTCTTATACAAAAAATTTCTTAAGTTTCTCATCACTGTAGAGATACCTTTTCGAAAAAAAACAATCACGGAGATATTGGGATAGTGTTTGAAATTTTCTATTAGTGCATATGTTTATCTATTGCCTTACATTTACTTGTTGAAAAATAATTCGAATAGAGTGAAGATAACTTGAACTGACGAGTACCAAAAATCAGTATTTTTTCGCTACTTTTTTTACTGTTTTCAAGTTATAATAACCAGAGAAATCAAGTTTTGCAAAGTACGTGTACATTTCACGTACTATCAAAATCTATAATTATCTTTTTTATAAAAACTGATTCCAATAGTAATTATAACTTAAAAAAAACACAAAGAATAGAGAATTTTGGTACTTGTCAATTTGAGATTATGTTCCCTTGTATAGGTTAATGTAATTTTTTTGCGAAGATATTGACTTTTATCAGGATAAGATTAATTTGATTTGTTTTGTTTTAAGAAAAACAAAAATCAAGCTTGATCCAAATTGCATCAATAGCAGTTTCATGTGAGAATTACTATAGAAATCCAAGAAGATTTAATGTGAACTCATTTGGGAGCCTATATCAAATCCACATGAATCTAAAAGTGTAGCTATCTCTTTGAAGAATAGCATGAGGTGCAAATGAATTGAGCACCCACGCTCACAGTATATCCAAACAAGAAAGCTTCTTGCTAATGCCAGGTGCAGCAAATTGTTGGTTTGTTAAATGAAATCGATGGATATTCATTCTGTATTTTTTTTAAACAAATAGAATATGAGAAAAAAACTATATTCTTAATTAATAGGACTCAGTTCAGTGGAATAGTAACATATACAAGTGTTTTCGTTTAACTGTATTTGTAACAAGATATGTACTATTATTGTTTTTTATACTTATTATAATGTTTGTCTCACAGAACAAATTCAAACTCGGGAAATTTTAAAAACTCCCTAGGATAATTTAAAATTTCATTCTGATCTTCACTGTCAATTTTGATTTCTCCATGGAAAATTTTGAATTTTCTGTATTCTAATTTCTCGTGTAACATTTATGTCTTCTTGTTTTGGTTCAGAAAAAATGAATAAATTATCGCAATAAGTTAAGAATATGAAATTATTCTTTTATTATGGCAAAAATGAATGCAGCCCACAGCGACACAAGATATGTAACTATTTTAGCACCCATGACAAAATTTTATTTATCGTCACGACTTAAAAAAATATTGGCTACGCCCACGGCCGTGACAAACATGAATCACGGTGGTCTCGCCAGGTACTACCACAAAGCTATAGAAACGTTCTTAATGTTTTTCATTTGAAAATGGTTTGACCAGCCATTTGGTTTAAGATATACAAATTGAAAGATAAAAGTCGTTTTCTTTTTTGCAGTAAAATGTACAAAATTTTTGTCTACAATTTCATAACATTTTGATCATAGTGAGGAATCACTCAATGTCAAGTATTGTCCATGTTTTCAATGTCAAAGTTGATGTTTCGATCTTCTGTTGTTTGGTTGAACATAAAAAGATTGTCAGCAAATATATGACAAGATTTTATTTTGTTGAAACAGATTCGATCTGTTGGGTCATGCAGAAAATGACTTTTACTTTTCAAATATCATTACATTTCTACTATTGAAACTGAAGAAATCTCAAGAAGATTATGAAAACACAAAATTCTGAATAAGAATAACAGCATCAAATAAGTTTCACTGTCAAATTTTATTTAAAAAAGAACTTCATACTTCAAGATCCAAGTATATGTTTTCGAGCACTTGGTCCAGAGGTTTTGTCAGTGAGTTGTTTCTAGTTAGGATAGTTCGATCAGCATTCGATTGGTCAATTACTGTAAGATAAGTGTTAGGAGAACAAAGAATTTCGTCTTTGCCTTTAAAATATGATTGTACGCGAATGAGTTTTCTACTTTTCCTTTCAATAGAGAACATCAGTCGTGTATATGATTCACCCATCACGTTTGCTGTTTTCTTTGTGGATAGAAAAAGCTGAAATCTTCAGAAACCCTTCATCAAACTGTTTGATATTTAGTTGACTTGACACGGAGTAATTCCATGTCAAAAAATTGAAAAATATTTGCTACTTCCAGTAGTTTAAATAAAACTGTAAGAAACAACTTGAAATATCTGAAACAATGTTGGAATTTTTCTCAATCATCTAGGTGAATTGTTTCATTCAGAATTTCATAGAAACTGTCCTCACATATGTTCGATTCTATTTTAGTAATTATTATATTTTTTTTTAAATTCTTTGTCAAGAGTCTTTTTTTCAAGTGATTATGTTAGGCAAATACCATTTAATTTCGAATTTTCTTCACTCTTGTAAGGAGAAAAATCGATATTAAATGATCTTTGTTTAATTAAAATAATCACTTATATTAAGTGATTCGTTAATATTTAATATTTAAAAAAATGCATTGACGACTGTTGTTTTACTTAACCAATCTTAAGGATTGAGTAGCGAATCTTAACTTAATTTTGAGTTAAGGCAAATGACGCATTTCTGCAACAGATGACCAATGACTTCAATAAATTCAGTCATTTCTACACACAAATTTCTTACTTGTAATTCAATTAAACATTTGCTTTTATGCTTCGTACGAAAGACATACTGTGGAAAGTGACAAGTTGTACAAATAAACGACAGAACAAAATCAAATCACACTACTGTTTGTGTTCTTATGAAGGACAAAGAAATAAGATAAGAAGCAAAACGGTTTGTTCGTCTCAAATAAAATGCGCGTAACTCAAAACTTTCACACAATCTTTTTTCACTTTTTTATGTATGATTGGATAGAGTGTGTTGAGTTACGTCAAAAAAGTGTCTCTGCAGTTTTCAAAAGTAGGTTTTTTCAAAACAATTTTAAAAAGATCTTCAATTTCACATTACATCACAAAAACTATCAATTTGTTGTACAACTGTGAATGTAGTGATTTTGTCGTTCTGTATAACTGTAAAAAAAATTTTCCGGTTCACGACACACAATTAACTAGAGAAAAAAAGTAATTTATATAAATTACTTTTTTTTTCTAGTCAATTATGTATCGCAAAACGAAAAGAAATTTCTACAGTTGCACAGAACAACAAAATTATTATATTCACAGTTATATGAGATATTGATAGCTTTTTTGATGTAAAATAAAATTGGAGACTTCGGAAATTCGAGGAACACTTCTTCGACGTAACTCAATGCGCCCTATCCAATCATGCGAAAAAGAACTTGTATCGGCATTGTGAGTTGGGTGCTTCTTACAGTAAATTCTGAAAGAGTTTGTCTATCCAAAGTAGAATTTTTTGACGATTGACTCACTGAAATTGAAATCATTATTTGAAAATGACGATGCAATAAAACTAGTATGACGGCAATTTTTATCTTGGCGATGGAGCTTATCAAATGTGTTGAGGGATATAACTAATGACAATACATCTTTCATATCTTTTTGAAAAAATCATTTATTTTATGGTCAATAGAAAAAATTTTAAAGTATAGCATTGTGTTTAAGAATCTTTGATCAAATAAACAACTGTCGATATTCTAAACAAAACAATTCAGATGGAGTGGAAAAAACAATTATCATCTTTCATACTGCTCTCAATTGGTTATTCGTTGATGATAATATTTGAATCAAAGGCAAAAAGAAGAGTAATATTAAATATCATAATCAATATGTTCGGTAATTGACTTTGAAAATGACCATGAAGAAATCATGTCGAACAAAAAAGACACGACAGAAGAGAAAATAGATGATAAATATTTCTATAGAGTTGAGAAAAAATTGATCGATAGAAATATCCAAAGGTCAAGTTTTAATTTAAAATATTCAAGATAATTTCGAAAATAGAAAGCATAATTAACTAATAAAGAGATCCAAGTTAATTTCTTCAAATTATCAGGATACATGGGTTTATGTAGAAAATTATAATAACAAAGCCATGTTATAATTGTTGTATATTATTCTGTGATCTAGAGAGTGAGAATGTCAATGTTTTATATTTTAGTTTCACCAGAGACTGCGTTAGCAAGTTGTACTTTTAAAAAAAATTGCAAACCCCATAGTGTTGAGTTATTAATATCTGTAAAAATTTCGAAAGTCTCATGCATACACTGCAGCGTCCGAACAAACAACGTGTAGGATGTCCTTTTTGAACGATTTGTACTAATTTTTCTTAGATCATTTTTCTGTTAAAATCAATCATTGTCCTTTAAATTGTGTGTAATATTTCATCGTTTTCTCATTGTTCTACTTTTTGACGCATCAGGAATAATTGAAACCAATTTGAGACTATAATTCAAATGTTGTCAAGATTTTCAACCATTGGCAACATAAATATCAATGAATTTTTATTGTACAGATAAATCGTTGAAATCATCATCAAACAGCACATATAGTTCATATATCAATATTGATTTAAAGTGCTCGATAGGAAGAAGATATCAACTTGTAAAAGGCAAGCGTTTCGATATAAATTTTGTAT